GCAGAAACATAAGGTAAGACAGAAGGAATAAATTCAGTGTTTAATAGCAGAGTAGGATGACCATACTTAATAAAAATGTATTGTAGTCGGGTGACGAACTTCCTAAATACCCTGACCTGATCACTGTGCGTTATATACAAGTAACAAAATTTCACATGTACCCCATGAATTTGTACAAATAAAAAAATAAACTATAAATGTAATAAAAAATTTGATCATAGTGACCAAAATTTGATTTGGGGCCTACTCTTTTTTTATTCCTTGTCAGTGTGGCCTCCCCAACAGAATCTACCACCTGTTGGAATCTACTTGGTTATTCATGCAGGCACATCAGTTCACAGGTCCACCCCACTGCCCATGGGTGGCAGAGAATAGTCATGTTCATGGCTCGTTGTAAAACATCATGTTCCGAAGCATCCCTGTTTAAAGTATCCTCTCTATTAATTTCAACTTATCAGCAATGAGAAACACTTATTAAGTGTCATATTACTTAGTTGACTGCAAAAAATGATAATAAAATAGAAATATTCTGTGCCTTCAGGGACCATAAAATTATATAGGCCACCCTAATAAATCTCTGCCTTTTAATTAGATAGTTATAATACCCATCAAGTTGAATTTTCCTTTGGATTTTGAGCCAAGAGGCTATAAATCTTCTTTATTAATCTTATCATAAATACAGGCATATTACATGGCTTAATTCTTTGAATTTCTGCCAGCTTCATTCATTTTTCTTTTGATATACAGGTGAAGCATCCTGCATTTTTTCAATTTTATTCTTTTACTCCTAATTTTCATGTATTTTTCCTTTCTGAAAGGCAAGCAAATTGTAGGTTTGTAGACTTAAACACTTCATATGTTGAATAAGGTTTATTAGGCCTGCATTTATCAACAAAAAATAAAATGCCTGGGATCATTAAACTTTCCATATTTAATGCAGATATCAATGAGTGTGCTTTGGATCCTGATATATGTGCCAATGGAATTTGTGAAAACTTACGTGGTAGTTACCGTTGTAATTGCAACAGTGGCTATGAACCAGATGCCTCTGGAAGAAACTGTATCGGTAAGTTATTTATTATATGTATAAAAGAGCCTTTCGTGTAGTTTAATCCCATAAATGAGAGGTATAAAAATACAAATAAATGACTAAAACTGGAGATCTCACAGTTTTCTCGTTTCCTTCATAGTATACATAAATATAAAAAATACCAGAATAAAACAAATTTTGTTACATAGTAACAGACTTCTTAGTGGTGCTATTATATTCAGTATTAAAATATTCTTTTCCCAAATGAATGAAGACATACTCAGTTATGAGCCTATTGTTTTCCTGCATATATCTTTTTTTTTCCCCCCATGGAAAAAAACCCTCTTGTTTATTTGATTAAACAAAAATAAAATAAGCTGCATAGAAACAATTTTAAAGTCCAAAGAGACACCAACTTTGTTTTAAGGCTGTAGTAGCTGATACAGCATCTCCGTGCTACCTTCTCCAGCCTTCTCTGTGGACCACAGCGATACATTCAGAAGCCTGTTAGCTAACACAGGAGTTTTTGAACACTTTTCCATTGGTTCTTCACCTGCTCATCGCCTGTCACGCCTGTGGCCTGCAATATTAACATTTAAGATTTAAAAGTGAGAGCCAAAAGACAAGAGAGAAAACAAAAACAAAAACCCACTTTTGCCTAAAGGTTTGGGGGAAAATCTTCATTTCCCCACCCATCCACTGAATTGATGGGATTCACACTACCATGGCAATGCCCATTTAGAAAGTGGCAAGAGGCAGTCATAGCACCCCAAATGGGCTGCAGCATGGTTCCTGCAGCCAGGAGAGTTATTCTGGTAGTGCACATTCCTTATATCATTTCTACCTTGGACAAATAAAACTAAGAGGTTTAACTTAGTCATTTTAACATAAGGCAACATGCTCACATTAACTCCCCCAATTCTGCATTTACTTTTCTTAAAAAAAAAAAAAAAAAAAGACTCAACGGAGTCAATATTCTACAGTTAAAAATTAAATCATTTTGCTGACCAGGCATGAGAGCTAATGGACAGTATCAAGCAAGATTCATAAAAAAATACTAACAACCCTCCCACCCACCCAAATATACCTAACATGCTAGTTAAAACCAACATCCCTTCCCCACCCACCCTCACCTGCATTGATTTTAGGAGAAAAGAAAGAGAGAAATCTTACCACCTTAAAAACAAGAAAACCCCGGAAACGTGAAAAATTTTTCTCTGAAGAAAGACAACTACACAGACTGCTAGAAACGTAAACGACTATTACAGAGCTGGTTATTTAAAGAAAGTAAACACTTTGCTACACACGTCAACACTCAGTCAGTGTGCTCTGAGATAGAGCCTTAAGAAAAACACTACCTGAGCTTGTAAGTTAATACAATCATTAAAAGGAGGTCTAAGACCATGTGGATACACAAAACTTTTAGAACCATTATTGGTTAAATGATGATGGAAAACATCCCACCAGGCTGGCTATGTTCACCCGTAAGATTAGTTTTAAAAATAGACATCACTGAGGTATTTCTTCACCATGACATTTTTAAACCCAAATCACAATAAACTAACAGTGGTCTTAGGACCCTCCTCTCTTCCAACCAAACCAAAAATTAACTAGGGTAGAGGGGTGGGAGATTAGTACAGTATATCTTGGTAATGTGCTTCTCAACTTTATCAAGTATTTAACGAACAAGGAAAAAAAAAAACCCGTCAACATGTTACCTTTGGTAGAAAAGAAAATTAAAACACAAAACAAAAGAGCAACACATACTCCACCAAGTCACTGCTCAGTAAAAACAGTGATTGTTCCAACATCATGGTGGGGAAAATCCTGCTGAGTCCAAAAGGCTATAAATACAATCATGAAGTCAAAAGGATTCTCATTCCCTTCAAAAATTTGAGGTTTCCAACAACTTGACCCTTGGGATGGCTCTTAAAAGGATATTATTCGCAGACATTCAAAATACAGATAAAATATTTTTCTCTTGAAGAGAAAAAAAAAGAGACCTAAAGGTCTTTATTTGTCAGTAAATCCTCCAATAGGTGAGATTAACCAGTAGTTTCCTAATACTGAACAACAATGGCATGCATAATTCGTTTTTTTTTAGGGGGGAAAGCCAGATTGGTAAGAACGACTAGAATTTATGACTACATTTGCCTGATGTTTCTCTTTTGAGGTCCATCAGACATTCCTCATGGGAGAAATCAGTTCTAGATTTATGATAACATTTCTTCTAGAGGTAGCTTCCTGCTCCCACCCACTCCCCACTGGATTAATACTACACGTTTCGATACCTGTCAGATGCTAACACGAGGTAGATGACTTTTCGCCAAAAGTGAGGTAGAAACTCAACAGAAGCAGCCAGTGTGGTGTGCAGCACTATGAGTCCCGTGCCCCTGGCCTGCTGCATATATCTTGATCTTCTAACTTTTGACTAAGAAATTGACTTCAAATTTAACAGGGCAGTATAGATAATAGTAAGTCAAGAAAATAAAGCATTACAGGTTGTAAGAAGTTTGACTTTATAAAGAAACAACCAGTTACTACAACATATATAAACATAACTGAGACAAAGATATTTCCTTCTTTAATTTATAAGAGAATGCTTGGAAAAAACTCAACTATGCAATTTAGTTTAACAAAGGGAAGGGAGGAGGAGGATGAGAAGGCTTAACAATGTTTCATTGTTTTCTATTAGTTCATATAGTCAAGAATTTGAGAAGAATCTAGATTTTCCCATAGAGCTCTTGAATCTATTTTTATAAAATGAATGTCATTAAATCTATCATTATGCATGATAGATTCAATACTAGCACACATTCATGATAGATAATTTTCACAACTAATTACTGATGACTTTTGCAATCAAATGTTGTGATTATGAAAGAAATATATTTTTCTGTTTTTCTGGTAATGGCTTTTATTCTTGAACATATTCATTTGATCTTAAGTTGGAGATACATACAGATGGATATAGAAAGCTAGATTACTATTGTGTACTCATAACAAAATAGATTTTTATACCTGCAGGAAAGTGCACCAACCAAAAATTATTGAGCATTTCTAAAAGTATGTAAACCAAGTTAGTTTTTATTCACCAGGAGCAAAGTCACTTCCAGATTAGCTTCCAAGTACGGTTGAAAATATGAGCACCCTACTGAAAACAGGAAGATTCAGCGAGCATCCACACACTGAACATGGGCCATGCCTACTCTTTAACGTAGGTGATTTTGAGAAAAATTAAAACTAGATTTTAAAAATAAAAGTAAAACTAATTTTCAGTAATAGAGTGTTTTAATTTGCGAGGGCTGCCATAACAAAACACCCCAAATTTAGGTCACTTAAAACAATAGAAATCTATTATTTCATAGTCTGGGAGGCTAGAAGTCCCAAATCAAGGCATCATCAGGACGTGCTCTCCGATGGCCACAGGGGAGAATCCTGGGAGAATCCTTCCTTTCCTCTTCTGGTGAAATCCTCGGCGCGCCTGGGCTTGCGGTGCCCTGCTGCAGCCCCATGGCTTCCTCTCCTGGGTGTCTTCTCAGCATCTCCATGTGTGTCTGTCTCTACATCCAAATTTCCACTTTCTACATGAACACCAGTCATACAGGATTACAACCTACCATGATGACCTCATTATAGCTTGATTACTTCTGTAAAAACCTTATTTCTGAATAAGGTCACATGCTGAGACACTGAGGGTTGGGACCTCAACATGTGCTTTTTGAGGAACACAATTCAATCCGTAGCATGGAAAAACGGGTAAGAAAACAGTGATGCAGTGACAATTTGTACACATGTTGTACAATCATAGGAAAAAAATTACAGCAATCCTTAAAGGATAATGTTAATTTTTAAAATAACATGATTTGGAATTGGAGGAAAAACCTAACATCTAAAGGGAAAAAGATCAGATAAAACATAAAAAATAATATTATCAGTGGTGATGGAATTATAGATGTTTTTCTGATATCTATTTCCCAAATCTTCATAGTGTCAATATATTGTTTAATAAGGGACAGTTGTTATGTGCAACACTAAAACATATATAACTTTAAATAAAGGAACTCTTCCCTCCAAACTAGAATTGTTATTTCTGTCATTAACTGTACAAGAATGAGATTACAGATATGAAGATAAGACTCAATGTGAACTTCTTAAACTGTATGTTTAGATGATATACTCTAGGCTATTCTGGACTGCTAAAGGAATATACAAACTACATCATTAATTTTGCACAGGTCACCTCAGAAATAACTAATTTCTGAGGTAAAAATGTAGTAGAAAAATTTAGTGAATATTTTTCTGTATAACTTCTGTTTAATGCATTCTTTTTGGAATTTTAATCAGGAAAAAAGTAAATAAATACCATGTGTTACTTTTTGATACATAAACAAATGAGTTCAACCTTTTGATATATTTTACAAAGAAAAAATATATCTAATATAATGCCATTGCAGGACAAAAAACAAATGAAAGAGAACAGAGTAGTACTGTGCCCTTTCCAAAGTAGCACATGCTTTCCAGGGACTTCAAAACATCTTACAAGTAGCCCCGAGCATAAGAATGTTCCTTTTGAATAAAACTAAATATATTTTGCTGAGGATGAAGAAATGTGGTGGAGTACAAAGAGACCAAGTTTTGAATTGTTCTCAATAACATAGAAATGATAAATGCTCAAAGTGACAATCACTTCAAATGCTCTGCTTTGATCACTGCACGCATTATATGCATGTAACAAAATATCATGTGCCCCGTAAATATGTAAAATATTATGTATCAACAAAAATAAATAAATGAATGAAGAAGATGAATTCAGAGAGAAAGGTGGGAAAACAAATAACAAAAATAACACATCGCGAGTGACTGTGACACATATTTAAGTACGTGTATCTCCTATCTCCCAATGGCTGCTCTCAGACATTGATGAGTGCTTGGTGAACAGACTGCTTTGTGACAACGGATTGTGCCGAAACACACCGGGAAGTTACAGCTGCACATGCCCACCTGGGTATGTCTTCAGGACCGAGACAGAGACCTGTGAAGGTGAGTGCTGTTGTCCTTGCCTTCGTTGTGAATAGTCAGTTCCCAGAGGTGTGTAAGCGCCAATGACAGACGAGAAGCAATGTAGTAAAAAGAGTTTTGTTTGAGTATTTTCTTTATTTTATCTCTTTCCCCTGATCTGCCGGCTTTAGAAATAGCATGTACTTAACGCAGTTTACAAACACCGTCGGTTTTGTCCCACTCAGATAAAATATCAACAAACATTTGGAACAAACATTTTGAAGTGGAAAAAAAATGGAAGGAGCCGTATTTTCTTGCTGAAATAGAATGTCAGATTTTTGTTTACTTTGTCTTCTCCTGTTTAAAATCACTCTGACACATTAACCTGGGAACCTATAATCGGAATTATAGTGACAAAGTTAAGTATTAGGCAGTTTATTTATGAAATGATTGATATACCCAAGAGGTTAGCCCAGAAAATATTTGGGCACTAACTAAAAATGGTCATTTTAGTTAAATTTATAAGCTAAGAAAATTTTCCTTTCCATTTGATGATTTAAAAGTTGTCATGTGGGTTTATAGATCATAAGCCAGTGTTTAAAAACTTCTTAAACTTCTTCCTTTTCTTTTAGCCACATTTTTCTGCAGTGGAATTTACATGAATGAGTTAAATGCCAGGGAAGTCCTTGTTTCAGTGAGATAATGAATAAGCAATGAGTGCATTCAGCTGTTTTTGTGTCATGATCAAAGGACTGTATATTTTAGAACAATCTGTTGTGTAACTGCTAGTCGTTGTTCCTGTTGGAAGTCTCACTGTGTGGACCTCCAGATGGGTCCCTAATAGTCTCAAATCCGATTACCACTTCCAAATAGGAAATAAAAAATATTTTATTTTTAATTACTAAAGATGGAATAGCCTTTTCTTTATCTGTTGAAGTATTTGTTTCTCAGTGATTCCACAGCCAAGAAAACTGCAATAGTATTATTATACAAAAAGATGTTGACATTCTCTCTTCATCTTACTATTAACTTCAAAGCATTCTTGTGAACAGAAACAAGTTAGGACTATTGAACAAGATGCCAAAACACAAATGACTGCTGAAGTCAATGAAATGCAATTACAACGTGCAGTGCTAAGTTTGGGTTGAATTGAAAGGACCACTGAAAAACAGTAATTAGCCTAAAGAAGAAAAGAAAAGAAAGGAAAAAGAGCACCTCAACATGAGGTCACCTTTTTCTAAATTTAGTTCTGGTAACTGTTTGACCCACTGTCCAACATCTTTGCAGGACTCCTCAAAGAGAAGCACTCATCCTGTTCCCAATTAAAGTACTTGAAAATTCATTGTCTCCGCACATGAGCAGGAAGTTTGAAATATCTTTGGAATATCTTTCTATAGGTTTTGAGAGCTCTCTTTTAAACCAACTCAGGGTTCTCAAAAGACTACAGAGTCTCTATTTTCTAGATCCTCCTTCCACTTCTTCCACCTATTGTTCTTCAACATTGTTCTGAAAAACATACTTTGTGAAAAGGCATTCTAGCCGTACTTCTGCCCTCCATAACTTTTTTGGAGGGCTGGGAGAAGGGATTTCAAAAGTTTTTGTATTTCTTCTACACTTTCTTCTCACTGCCCTTTATGCATTTTTTTCTATTGTCTGTTGGAGGGTTAACTTCTATTAAATCTCGGGAAACTTTGAAAGCAAAAGCAGCTTAGGATATCATCGCTATTTAACTAGGAAGCTGGTGATTATTAGGGCTTGCCTTCCTGTCCACAAAACAGCACCCTTTGTTTGTCTTGTGAGAGAGACCCACAAAGTGGAACTAAATGGATGGTGCCTGATTATATTTGCTGTATATACTCAATTGTCAATGATTATTTATAGCATATTTTCTCCATTTTAACAAGTAAGATGGACTAGAAAGGTACTGAGAGCTGAAATACCAAACAAATAAAAGTCAGAGGCCCACCTGCTTACAGGAACAATTAAGACAAGGAGGAGCCAGTGGTGTGTACCTGCATACGGTTTGGTGATCGCATCAGTATTGAGGCACATTGATATCAGGCGGCAGTGAGTGTTACAGAGATCTTCACCTACTGTGTTCAAATGGTACATGTGCTTGATAAATCTGAGCTTTTTCTTAATGTGAAAATTATTTTATATCTGTCATATATAGAAAAGAAATTTATGTTACATAAATAAAAAAGATAAAATAGTCTTTTTGATAGACAACTATTTTGGCTCCAGCCTTGTAACATTCAAGGAAATAAAAATGATTTATCATGGGAAACCTAACCAAATAGCCATCATTTCTATACTTCTTTCTACACTGTTATGTCATTTACATTTTATTAAGTGCTTTGCAAAAAATAGACCTGAAGGCACTAATCTCTTTTTCCTTTGGGTCACTTCCTTATTTCCACCATTGCATTCAAACAGTAAATTTGTCTGTCTGAGGCAGTTTTCTTTATTCTATTCTTTGTTAGCTAATTTCCAAAGACTAGACAGGGAATTATTAGCAGATTCATTGTAGATTTTAGCTTTCTCTGTATATATTTGTTATATTTGCTAATTTTGTTTGACATTTATGTTTTCAACAGGCAATTTTAAATATATAACAAATAGCAGTGATAGTAAAGAGAGTAAGTTTTCTCTGTATTCCAAACTGAAGTTACAAAAGCTTTATTTTACTTTTTTTGAGTTCTGAGAGTCTGTGAAAGTTAAAATTTTTACAGCAAGCACTGTGGTTTAGATTGTGTTTCCAGTGACATAAGTAGTTAAATGTAAAGCAGATGTGCTTTGAAGTTTATTTCCAGGAATGTACAGTGAACTGTTTCAAATTCTGGTTCCATGACATTTATAACATAAAAACATTTTATTTAAAGGAAAACTAAATGGTTGATATTTGTAGTTGTCATTTCATGTGTTTATAGTTTTTGAGTTCATAATTGCTTAATTTAAAATAGGGATTTTTAAAAAAATACAAGATAGTGACATTTTCTTTTCTTTAGGCTTCTTACAAATGAAATGAATAGGAGAGTTGGAGAATTATAGATGGTCTGTCCTCAGATTAGTTATTTGCTTTTCTGGTTATCTAGTTCCTTTTTTACATTTTGTTTTTATGAGAGAATTTCCATACTGTGGGATTGATGTTTTCATTAGAAACCCGTGCATATTTACAAAGCCTGTTGCTATATTTTCTTCTAAGAGGTTTTCTCACTACAACAACCTGCAAGCAAAATGCATTCATATGTCCTCAAATAATTTCTATTTCAAGAATTAAATTAGCACCTGGGTACTTCTTCAATAATGTCAAAGTAGCAAAGAAGAAGTACACTTGTTTTCCACGTTGATTTTTAAATTGACATTTCAAGTCCACTGACTTGAAAATCAGCTGTGAGCCCTGATCTTTCAGGATTAATTTAGTTTATATTTGACACGAGACATTCAAGAGTAAGCATTACAGTCTTCTAGTTATTTGTTTGCATGTTTTCCTCAATATAGTAAAGTGTTTGATAATAAACACAAATGTTTAGTGAGGAAGAAAGGTATTCTTGTGAACTCAGAAACCCTAGTGTTCAACATGAAATGTCTTGAGGTATGTTGACCTGTTTCAGAAAATTAACCAAGTAGAGAAAGTAATCTGTGTGCCAGTTCTTTAAACTGAGTGATTAAATTTACACTGAAGGTGTCTTTGATATTGTTTCTAGTACTTTACCTGAAGCTTGCATTTATTTTTCATTAACTCATGTGTCAAACTATTTAACTTTAAGGGTCTACATTTTCTCTGGTCGCCACCTGAGAGTGGTAGGCACACTGCAGTTATGTTTACTTCTGACCATCAACAGGAATTATTTAGATTCTGGCACATGATTTGATTTAGGACTCAAATTAACAATTGTAGAGGCCTCTTTAAAACAATTACTTATACTTCATCACATTTTCCCAATTTTTGTTTTACTAAAATTGATTGTGTTTGGAAAAACTAAGCAGACCAGACATATAAATGTGAATAGCTAAAGAGAGAGGAAGGTGGATAGGGACTCGAGGAGAATTCTGTACCCAGTATGAAAGTTTCAGTCCTCATTTTCCTCATTTGTAACCAAGAGTTTGGAATTAAAGCCAGCACTGTGACATTTTGCTTCTAAGGTAGACTTTTTTTTTTTTAATTCATCAAAGCCTCACAGGACCATAAATGACAAAACAATCAACCTTTGTGCACAGCATGTTGCACCTGGAATTACATCTTATTAAGGGGGAAAACTAATCCCATTGATGTAAAGTTGTAATAATGTATTGAAGCAGCACATTCTGAACCCTTTCCCAATAGGCTGATCCCTGTGTCCTACCGAGCCCCCAGTCCTGTGGGTGTGTGTGAGCCATAAAGTGCCTGTCTCTATTCCCCATTCACTTTATGCCTCATACATCCATATTAAAATTACAAGAGCCAACTTTACCAGACATTCTGGCATAGCATACCTTGTAAGAATAATATTTTCCAGAAACATATGGCAGTTCTAACAGAATCTTTTCCTTCTGGATTGTAGATGTAAATGAATGTGAAAGCAACCCCTGTGTCAACGGGGCCTGCAGGAACAACCTTGGGTCTTTCAGCTGCGAGTGTTCGCCTGGCAGCAAGCTCAGCCCCACAGGATTGATCTGCGTCGGTAAGATCCACGCGTGGTGCTGGCGTTTCAGCTCCACTGCAAAGATGAGCACACGCCTTAGGCCCTGCTGTGGGTGAAAACAGAACATGAGTACAAGAGGCCAATAATCAGGAGTTACATTAAACTGATTTCTCTCGATATCAAGATAGAAGTGAACATAATAGTATAAACTAAGCAGCTGCTTAAATTTTGTTAGATTCTAAAAATCTTTCTTTCATATCAGTGTACAAATTATGCTGGAAGGTATAAGCATTTCCATACCACACACATATGTATATTCTTTACCCTAAAAATGCCATAGGCATCAATACCATCAAATCTCTACTGCATACTTTTTTACAAACAACCTTCTATCATAAACAAAAATATGATGAAATTTGGATTCAGTTAGCAAGACCAGAATTTGAAGGTTTTTAAACACATAGAGGGAATTTATTGTTTTTTCTTTTCTCCCATCAGTCATACATTGATGGGCTCCAAGGAAGAGAAAAGAACTGTTTTCTTGCCTTGGGAAATTTCTAGAGAGAAAGATTTCAAAACTTCTAAACTAACATCTTGTCATAGGTCTCAAAACATTTAAGGTCAGTTCTTAATAATGACACAGGAGGTATATCAAAGGAGATAGTCTGATCTGTAAGGAAAAATTCAGCATGCGAATGGGAAAATATGTCCCATTGATTTTTCCCTGCTTCTAGTGTTTGTGGCTCCATTCGCTGGGTGTACACAGCCCACATCATTAGCTAATCTCCACCTTTACAGTGAACTAAACATATATTCCAAATAAGAAGATATTTCATTTTTACATGGTGCCAAATAAATTGGCAGGTTTTGTTTGTTATCTAGCCAAAATGAATTTTCAATTTTGTATTTGCCAAAGACGATAGTATTTTCAGTATTATGTCTGATGTTAACCACAATTAGCTGGACACGAGGGCACTTGTTTATTAGATGAAGAGAAATGATCAAGTTCAAATTATCAATGAAAACCTTCTCTTTGGAAACACCAGCTCTTTGTCTCCCAGTGAGGCGCAGCTGGTGAGCTGTGAGCCTTGCCCAGCTCTCTGCATCAGTAAACAGACTGCTGTCTGCCTAGTGCATTGATTTTTTTCTTATAGAGTTCTAGGTTGGGGGTGGGTTGGATACAGTATGGCAGAAATATTTTTGCTAAGCCACAATTTCCAATTTAGATGGAATCATTTTATTATACAAAGGAAATGAATTCAGCATTAGTCAATTAATGTCTCAGAAAACCAAATCTGTATGCCACTTGAGCATCAAAGATATCTTAGTTTTTATTTCATCATATAGACTTCTATTATTTTGGAATTTTGTCTTTATATTTATTAATAAAAGAAGAAAAAAGACTTTTTACTCCCAAGTCATTATGTCATTCTTCCAATTGCCAGCAACTAAACACCACCACATTTTTCTCAGCTAGCGTGTGTGTGTTTTCATTCATTATGATCAGATTTGAATAGCCCAGCATAGAGCTGCTCCAAATGCAATGTACCTAATATTTTTAAAATTTAGACATTGTTTTATCTACTTTTTATTAAAAAGAGAATTCTAGTTGAAAAAGGATTAATAAATAGTAAAATATACATAGGAAAAATTATGACTGTGTGTGTTTAATTGGACTGTTGGTGGCTTTAAGTGGTGGTTAGCATGCAGCCTTGTCTTTCATAGGGCTCAGGTCTCTTACATTTTTAACTGAATAAAAGTTGCATGATGTAGTTACTAATTTAGAATTAATTCATATTATGTGTCAATTAGTTGGATACTAAGATTATTTAAGGAGTTAGAGTCTGTTGTTCAAACTTCCTAAATATAAATGAATCTCAAACTATTATGCAAACTGCTTAGAAAGACCATCGTACTCTGGTTGATAAGACTAAATGTAATAGAACAATAAATTTGATGAATGTTTCCTGTACTACACAGTTATTGACTTCCCAGGCACAACTGTCTTCTCCTACTTTTACTTTTCTGGCCTGTGTTTTCAGCTTTCTTTGCTAAGTGTTCCCTGTTCTCCTGCTCTTCAGTCTGCAGTTTCCTCCAGTTAGTCCTGGGGCCTCGGGCTCCTCTGCCTGTGCTTGTGCTTGGTGGCCTCTCTGTTGTCTCCCACAGCTGCTGCCCCGGCGGCAGTCCCTCCGCTAGCTCTAGGTTTGTATTTCTGACTGTCTGCACGGTGTCTCCACTTGCGTGTCTGATTGACATTGCAAACTGAACATATCTAAAACCAAATTCATATCTCCTGGCTTGAACCTGTGTCTCCTAGAAACATTTCCATCTCGGCGAACGGCAAATGGTTCTTCTGGTTGCCATCCGCTAAAACTTTAGCGTCACCCTTGATGCCTTTTTCGAAAACTGCACATGGGATTCAGCAGCAAACCTATTGCTTGTACTTGAATTTTACCCAAACTTCAATCCCTTCTTACCACAACCACCAACCCTGAATCTAAGTCGCCATCATTTCTCTTCCTGATTCTTACTCTAGCCTCTTTCTTGCCTTTTTCCCTCATATTTGCTACTCTACCATCTACCTTACCAGAAAAGTGAAAAGAGAAGAAGGCAGTTGTGCCTGGGTATCCCAAAACACAAAGTTTCTTGAGGAGTGAGGAGTGAACTGTGCCAAACATTGCTCCATAGTCTTAGATGAGGAACGAGAGTAAATGGTTGGATTTGGCAGTAGGGAGGTCACTACCCTTGTCATGTCCATGTAGGTTGAGAGCAGAGGGCAGACCTGCTCCCAAGATGAGGGAAACCAGTCTGCCCTACATGGAACCATCAAACTGTAGCCCCCACGTGATCTCTTTAAAACATAAGTCCAAGCATGTCATTGTTTGTCTAGGAACCTGTCTGTAAAACCTCGGCTTCTCAGTTCACTCAGAGTGAAAGCTGGGGTCCATGCCAAAGCCTGGGCTCCCCCATGGTCTCTCTCCTGCTGTGACTCTGTCTCCCTTGCTCTGCCTCCCACCCCTCCACCTGAGCCACACTGCCCACTTCTCACTCCTGTGGGTCAGACGTGTGCTCATCTGAAGTTCGCTGCACTGAGCTCTCTGGCCAGAATGTTCTTCCACCAGGTTTCAGGGTTTGTTTGTGTGCCTTATGTGTCTATTCAGATGTCACATGATAAGTCAGGACTTCTGACCATCCTAGATGCAATAGCAGGCTTTTTCTCCCTGTTACACCCTCACGTTGCTTACCCTGCTTCATATTCTTCAGAGTTTTTAACTAACACCTGACTATTTATCTACATCTGAATTGTGTTGTGTGTTTGTGTGTGTGCGCATGTGAGCACACAACGGTCACTGAGAGAGAGAACACAGAGAGAGAAAGAGAGAGAGATAGGGGCAGGGGGAGGTGTCTGTCAATAGATTTGTAACTGTTAAGCCTTAATGCAGTTAGCAGCCTAAAGAAGCATGGTGTTAGAGAGTGAGGGACTGTGTGGGTTTGAATCTTGATGCTGTCCCTATACGAGTTGGGTAATCTTGAGCAAATTAGTTGACTTCTTTGTGCCTCAGTTTTCTCATCTGCAAATTGTACATAACTCATAGGGTTGTTTTAACAAGTAAACTTGTAAGTAATTCTTAGGGTCGTTTTAAATCATAGAAAGCCTTTAGAAAAGTGCCTGTCACTACCTTAATAAATCTTTGCAATGACTATTACAATTTATCTTACTTAATATGACAACAACCAAGGTGATAAATCTGATAAATCAGCAATTAGTCCAGTCAGAGTTAGGGAAGCTTTTCATGTTGTAAGGCCACATTAATTTAGCTGTAATCAAATACAGCCACATTCAAGAAACTTCAATTAGATACACTTAAAAATATACATTATTTTATAAAATGCTAACTAATATGTACTTAATAATTTCCAAACTGAAAACTGTTTGTTAATTTTAAAATTAAGCTTTTAATGACTTTGTTATGTCTACATTTGTTGGAAAGCACTTGAATATTTGGTTGCAACATGAAGGTCCACGGTTTCAGTTGATCCTCTTGATGGGCATGAGTCATTTGTGACATTAAGGGTGTCTTCACTTGGGTTAGGTAGGAGAATTTAGATTTGCAGCAATAAGTGGTTGAAAAGCACAGTTTTCAGGAATGTTGCCAAAGGTGTGGGTATTCTACTGCATTTTTGCGTATTTCAGTTGGATCTGTCTTAGCCTCAATGACTTTAAAATGTCACCTACTGAGAGCTCAGGCAGTTCCATCTGTAGTTCCTTAGGTGCCTTGGTGATATCAACTAGGTGAGGCTGAACGGCTAATCTGAGTGTGATGTCATGGTACGCAAAGTCAGTGAACCTTTCATTGTATTCTCTAATTAATCGGTCTATAATAGCTGTGTATTCTTCAAATGATTAGTACATATCATCCTGCTCACCAATGACCTTTGCTAACTGGGGAAAATGTTCGTCCAAAATTTCTTTTGAAGAAGATCTTGGATTGTTTTGCTACATGTCATATGCAGACTTAGTTTGGCCTTGCAAAGAAATATTCAAGTAATTTTGATTTGATATGATGTCACCCAGAAATGCTGCATTCCTATAGACATATTCTTTCAATAATTCACATTGCTGATTCTGTTCTTCATAAAATTTAACTATCTGTTCTTGCAGAGATAAAATTTTAGCTCACACCTGTCCCTGCAATAGCCAATGCACTTTAGAATGATATGGCAAATCCACACTGAATACCTCATCGTTTAACTTTAGTGTGTTATGAAACTGATGATGTCATGTTGCATTTGCATGAATATAGTTAACGGTACTTAAAAGTCATTGGAAAGTGTCATTTAAAATAGTAGCTTTAGCACAGAGATTTTGCTTATACGACATACAATGAAAAGAAATGGGAGCATCTGGATCTATTAATACCATTTTTAATCTGTGTATTAAACCCTCCATGTTTTCCTATCATGGAAGGTGCACCATAATGAGTGTACATACACTCATTAAATTTACCAAATTCAGTCCACCTTCATGACATTTATCTTGAACGTTGTTGAAAATATCTATTCCTTATGTTCTGTTCGCAAAAGTGCCCAAAACAAGTAACTCTTTGTAGCAAAGAAAATCTTCTGTTACAACCCAAATGAAATATAAAACCTGTGCTGAGTCAGTAGTATCAATTGATTTATCCAAAGTGATTGAATAATATATATTTTCCTTTTGAAGTATTGCATGAAGTTGTTCTGTTAAGTTGAAGGCTAATTTATGCTGCCAGTTAGTTATGGTTCTCCTTGAAATAGGCAGTTGTTTGTGCTTTGAAATGTTATCAGGGTCTAAGCATCCTACAACTTGGACAGTGCATTCTTTCACAATTTCTACATCGCTGAATGGCTTCCTTTTTCTCCCAAGTATATAAGCTACTTTATAAGTTGCTTCAGTGGCGTTATTTCCAGGTCTTATTGCTGCTTGAAAGAATTGTCTTTGCTTTTGCTTGTCATCTTTTGATTTCTGCAATACAACTTTTTGCACCTCTCCCTCTAACTTAAAATGTTTATGGTCCTTATTAGTGTTTTAATGTTGATGAGCAATGAATTTCTTTAATGTTGATAGTAGTATCACAAAGCAAGCAAATCATCTTATCTTTAGTGGAAACAAGATAATGTTGCAATTCCCACTCCTCATTAAAAAATCTGTTTTCTTCCTTCAGTGTTCTCTTGGTCTTCTTTGACATGATGGGCTATTAAGCAGACAGAATTAAAAAATACTGTCAAGCTGTATTCACAAATTCTGCTTCAAACAGAAACAGTGCACTGTTGTCAAAAGCCAGCAACAGACTGGCTTACTTGACCCCCATAAACTCTCGCCAACCAGCCTTGTACAGCAGTGGTGCCAGTCAGGTGGGGGAAGTTAGAACTAAATGATGAGCATAGCAGCTATCAGCTTAGCCCTTCTGGGCTAAATTTTTGTACATCTAATGGTCTTATCATAGCAATGCAGTGTGTTTCCAAGTACCAGCATAAAATATTGGACAATAGCTACTACTCCTAGAATATCAATAGGCGCAATTGTATTCATTACCATATCATGTGAGATATATATATATATATATATATATACAGAGAGAGAGAGAGAGATAGTACAATATTTGATTTACATGCAGGTCTTAATAACATACCATATCTGAATGCAAATACATGGAAGTACGTTCAAAGAATAAGCTGTTAAAAAAATTTTTTAACATCCTCTTGTTTTTTTTTTTTTAAATACCATAACATGCTTTGGTATACATAGTTAAGTCCCCACCCTTCGTTATTCCTTCTCAGACAGCCTGAAAGGGACGTGTTGGCTCAACATTCAGGACAACCGCTGCGAGGTGAACATTAACGGGGCCACGTTGAAGTCTGAGTGCTGCGCCACGCTCGGAGCCGCCTGGGGCAGCCCCTGTGAGCGCTGCGAGCTCGGTAGGGGCTGGCCGGGTTCGGGCTGCTCGTTGGAGAACTTCCTCCTCAACTAGGGCCCCTTCTTCACTCTGTGTTTCCTTAGTGAGAATCTTGGCCATAAGGTCTTGACCCTGACTAAAATGTTATCTTCTCTAGCTAAATATTTTCACCTCTTGAAACGTGTATTTGGTTTATGCCAGTAATGTAAGCAGACCTTCTAAGTGTTTTATACAAAGAGAAGAATCAGCTAGAATCTATCCGCTAGACAACCGTACCCTCCAGTATCCTTGTTTGCATGTGTTCTTGTAGGACATGATGACTTTCCCTTTAATATTTGGTTTACTGGTAATTCAGTTGTCAATGTGAGACCAGAAAGGAATTATAGGAAAAATTTTGAGACTCTCAATATGACTCGACACCAATGGAGTTACCACTGCAAGCTGTGTGCCCTGCTGAATTGAAATAAGAACAGCTGAATCCTTGGGCTGTAAAACCCTGCCTTGTGGTTTTCATTTAGTTCCATTTCGATTTCATTATACTGTTTCTTGAGCTCAAGACACTTGTATTTTTTTTCATAACCAAATAAAAACGTATCCTGTTCTTCTTACAGACACAGCTTGCCCAAGAGGGTTTGCCAGGATTAAAGGTGTCACTTGTGAAGGTGAGTGTATTCTGGAGTGATAGTGTCAATCTTTAGAGCAGCACATAAAATTAATAGTCACTGTGCTACTTTGGAGATATTTTTCATTTTCAAACACCTGGAAATTTCAATAGGCATGCTCAAACTAATCAAAAATGCTTTAGCATAATACTCTTAGAAAACAGTTTGGAATTTCCCATTTCTCCTCTTTATGCAGTTGTGTAAATTTCATAAGCACATGACTAGCCTTTAAGGCCCAGAACGGCTGGCGAGGAACGTCTGGGCTGTGTTTTATGGACGGGCAAGGCTGCGGTCATTTTCACAGCTGGTGCCCAGGAAAGCAGGTGGCTGGGCTATGGAATATTTCTGCTTAACTCAAGTAATAATCCACATTGTATTGCAGATTGAATATGCTATACAGGAAGTAAAGCTACACCTGCTTTTTCTATTTGTAACATCTTTATCCCTCTGCTTGCTGCATTTCCCTGCAGATGTTAATGAGTGTGAGGTGTTTCCTGGCGTTTGCCCAAATGGACGCTGTGTCAACAGCAAAGGATCTTTTCACTGTGAGTGCCCTGAAGGCCTCACATTGGATGGAACTGGCCGTGTGTGCTTGGGTAAGACTCAAGCCTTTGCCTGTATTACGTATGCAACAACAAGCTGTGAATTTTCCTGTCATTTTGGGCAGTTAGTCCAAAACTACTGAGCCTATACTTGGAAAAACTTGCTTTAAATGAGATACTTTGGGGGAAATCACCAGAGGATGCTCTAAAAATGAATGTATTTAAGTGAAATAAAGTCTGTTCAATACATAAAGTTGGTACTGCTCAAAAATTGATCTCAAAAGCTTCAATTTCTTTAATCAGATAGGTGTGGCAGGGTCAGCCTTTCACACTGAGTTGACAGTGTAAGAAAACTGTCTATAGCTCGAACACAGAAGAAAAATTGGAGAATAGGATTTGAAAGGCTGACATCTATCAGCTCATTGCAGCTGTGCCCCTTCGACAGTGGGGAAAAGCCATGGGCAAAGTTGTGTCTTCTGTGTGAAAACATTAATCCCGATCCTTCCTTTATCACCTTTAGAGTTTAAGTTTTCTTAATGTTTTATTTTTTAAAAATCTAAAATGAGGAATGTCATTCTTCCAACACCATAATATAGGGATGATAGTTTGATCTCATCCTTTATCAGTGTCATATTTGATTGGCATGAATTTCATGATTGAAAAAGAAATTTCTATCAATTTTTAACTATGTAAACAATAGTTTTTCATTTACTTAAAGGGATTTTTTTCAATAAGCTATGGAACAATAAATTTTTTGTTTGTAAAACAACTTTACATAGGGTCATATTTAAGCATGTAGACAAAACATTAGCAAAGGTACTATTATATTTAATGATCTTTAAAGTGTTTAAATATATAAGTGATTTTTTAAAAATTAGTGGTAAGGAAAGAAGTTTGCAATACCATGTAGTTATTATAACTTTTGACAGCATATCTAAATCTGGACAGAAAGCATGACCACAGAATCATATGAAATTATTTAGAAAGCATAATATCCAAAATATAAAAATAAAAGATAATTCTTTTCAGATTTTAATTATTTTAAAAATTATCTTAAAATTATCTACAATGTTTAGAAAAAAATTATATAACTTTTGAAAATAACAAAATAATAGTATCAGTATGCCAAATGACTAATGAAATCAAGGAGCCTTCAGTAACCAAAGGATGTAATATATGAAGACATATTATTGATTGTAAATTATCAGTAAGCAAAATAAATTTCCAATAACATCATTCAGAATTAAAGCCTTTGTAATATTGTAAAAGGATATATTGAACTTTTCATCCTTCTACTTTGGTTAAATGTTTTTGTCACTACTTGAATTATGCTACATTAATTCATTCTGTCTGGGGTTGTGAGAAGGTTTCAAGAAGCAGTTGGCATATGAAAATGTAAAATATTCTGAGAACAAAAGTTGTGGTGAATTGCTCTGAAAGAACTGCATCTAAATCAGAGATCCCAAACTCAAATGGCTTGCAGAAGCCAGACAGGCCATGCAAATGAGGAAAGTGACAATATGAAGTGATGGGGACAGCAGCAAACTGTGCAGTACATGTACAATGCAAAGGTTTCCAAATTCATATCTTAATTTCTGTGCAAGTCAGGCAAAGCATTTATAGGCCTCACGTGGCCAGTGTGCTGGCTGTTTGACTCCTGATGTAAATATTGATATCAATCTCAGTAGGAAAGACACAAGATTACTTTTCCAGGGTATTATAACTTTTTACATGCTTAGTTCAAATGCATTCCCCCTACCCCCAATTTATCCCAGAATGACTCTTGAGCAAATTACTTCAGTGACCCCAGAAACAGTGTTACTTAGACCAGAGTTCTCAGGCCCTAGATTATTGTCACACTTCATACTGGCAAAGAATGTGGCTTTCTGGTTAGGGTTAGTGTACATACACATAGAAAGGAGAATCACCTTCTGTGAATACCTATATTCATTCTACTGAATCAAATAAAAATTTGCCACAGTTATTTTTTCTCTAAAAACAGGAAATTTTAATTACAGTACTTAGAAATGTATATAACTCTAGGCTTTAACTCTAGGCTTAAAGGCAGTTGCTAAAGTTGATGTTACATTTGGTTTATAACTTGAAAGAATCAGTATTGGTTGTAACTAAAATAGTAAACATATTAATTTGTTTATGTATACATTTCCATCAGAAATCTCTTTCCCTCTGTTAAAGAGTTTTCAGGTTCTAAAAAGGATTTAATGTAATAAAGTGCTCTTATCAAATAAATCATGTTATATAATTAAGAAAAATTATTTCTGAACTCATCATCAACATGTGTAAATTAAACAGCAAGATGCTTGATGAGTTTGAAAACAAGTCTGTTGGCCAACAGATGAACACATTATTTAGAAATCATGCTGGTCTGCCTTATTTTGTGACTGCCTATGTTCTAGGGTCCTGGCTAGCACAGGCTAAGCACAGAAATGTTGGTATGTTTTGAAGTTTAAAGGAAAATGTGACATTAAAACAAATAATTGGCCCCTTAATAGGGAAACTTCAAATAATCCAGGGAAAAACCATGATGCAAAAGGTAAATTTGGCAGAAAGAAAAAACTTAAAAATGCAATAATAACATTTTTCCTTTTGTAAAGCAGTTTTAATAGTTGTACCAAATTGGCCACTAGATTACAGCTGATCATCTACTATTTATGACTAGGATTTGGCAGGGCTGCTTGAAACCCACTTTAAGCAATTTAGTGTAAAAGAAGAATCTATCACTAAAATCATTCTACTCTTTTTGAAGTAAGCAATACAGAAAAGGGGTCACAGGCGATGGATGACTTGAAGCAGTCATGTCATGAGAGGGCCTCTCCTCTCCTTCCTGTTTCTGGTGAGAATTAAGTAACACCGAGGGAACTCCCACTTTGTTCCCTTAAATGACTGTTGTTGTGGAGTCCATGCCAGGGCCAGCGCTGTGTCTTGCCCACCAGGGCACATCCAGGCCAGCACCACGCCTGTGCTGAGCAGGCGCTCCGTGTGAGGATGTCCAGCACGCGCGTCCACTCACTCTCACACTGTGACTTCGCTCCCGGTGCAGATATCCGCATGGAGCAGTGTTACCTGAAGTGGGACGAAGATGAATGCATCCACCCTGTTCCTGGAAGATTCCGCATGGACGCCTGCTGCTGTGCCGTCGGGGCGGCTTGGGGCACCGAGTGTGAGGAATGCCCCACACCTGGCACCAAGGAGCATGAGACTCTGTGCCCCCGGGGACCTGGCTTTGCTAACAGAGGGGATGTTCTCACTGGGCGGCCGTTTTACAAAGGTAACTGCCCACGGAACTTGGACCCTCTGCACCAAGGAGACACCTTCCGCATTCTCTGAGAATTGCTTTTGCTTTAAACCTTTAATTTCCCAGTTTATTTTCTTGAGTAAACATGTTTTGTCGCCATCCTTATGGCCCAAGAGTATGAATATGTAAGACAATATTAAAGTGAAGATATAAAACAGACTGTTAATCTGCTCTTCTACTGTTCCTTCCTCTGCTTTCCTTCATACAACCTGAGATGTAGCCCCGATAACTACCTCTATAGCAGGGGTCCTCAAACTTTTTAAACAGGGGGCCAGTCCATTGTCCTCAGACCTTTGGAGAGTGCTCACTGTAGGCCCGGGATGAGTTGGCTGCTAAGCAGGACAGGCAGCAGCAGCAAAAGCACCTGGCGGGTGCAATAAATGAGCTAGGCGGCCTGCATGTGGTCCGCGGGCCATAGTTTGAGGGCCTGCTAGCAATATGTTCTCCATGGCCACTAGCCTTTACAAAACAAATGGGAAGAAATAAAGGGATCACAGCTCTTTTATTGAGAATGTAGAATCTTTCTCACAGTTGAAACTTTTTGTGTGGTATCAATATGATTACTGGAAAATTTGATACCCTTCATTTATTAAGTGTGTTATTTCCCATCATTAGTTAATTAAAGTGATGAGCCTACTCTTGCATCTCAGCCAGCTTAGTGCTTTGGCTTTATTCTACTTCTAGATATCAATGAATGCAAAGCATTTCCAGGAATGTGTACCTATGGAAAGTGCAGAAATACCATCGGAAGTTTCAAGTGCCGTTGCAATAGTGGCTTTGCTCTAGACATGGAGGAAAGAAACTGCACAGGTAAGATGATTCTGGTGTTTATTTGGGAAACCCTGGCTGAGAACGTAAGTTTTTATTTTTATTTCCTGTCCATACACTTAAATCAGTTCTCCAAATAAACTTCTTGTGAGAGAGCTGCAAAATAGCATAAAAATGCTATATTTCTTACAAGAATGGCATAAAAATATGATTTTCAAAACATAGGAGTACTAAAAAATATGGCCATTAAATCCACAACAGTTACATAACTTGAGAAGTATACTGTTAAAGATTGTAAAGTTTGTAAGAGAAATTATGACTTATTTTTTTCATCTATAAACAAGATTTTTTTTCCTTTTATTTCATCATATTATGGAGGTACAAATATTGCACCTGCCTCCCCTCCCTCCCCCCGATGTGTCCAATCCCCTGGTGATGTGCACCACACACGTTATGAAAGCATACACCCCTTTCCTCCTCCCCCCTCCCGCCTGCCCACCACCCGATAAAAAGTGGGTCTTTTTGATATTTTGGTTACATTGTATATCTTTGGCTCTCCCTAAGAATGGTTAGATTTATGCCCTTCCCCTCCGAAGTGCTTGCCACATCCCTAAGATTGGGTCACCCCCCGCCCCGAATCCCTGGTGAGCATTGCCACCATTTGAAAACCATAGTTTTAATCAGTCAGTACCAATTTGATGGTGAGTAGATGTGGGTTCCATTTTCCATGTCTTGTGTCGCCTCACTTTGGATAACGAGCTTAAGCTTAATCCAGGATAACATAAACGGTGCTAGCTCACCATCATTTCTTAGGATTGAGTAATATTCCATTGTGAGCATATATCACATTTTAATTATCCACTCATGAATTGACGGGCACTTGGGTTGTTTCCATGACCTTGCAATAGTGAATTGTGCTGCTATAAACATTCGAGTGCACGTCTTTATAATAGAATGTCTTATGCTCTTTGGGGTAGATAGATGTCCAACAATGCAATTGCAGGGTCGAATGGTATTTCTATTTCTAGCTGTTTGAGGTATCTCCAAATTCTTTTCCACAAAGGTTGCACTAACTTGCAGTCCCACCAGCAGTGTAGGAGTGTTCCTGTCTCTCCATATCCTCGCCAGCATTTGTTGTTTTGGGATTTCTTGATATAGGCCATTCTCACTGGGGTTAGGTGGTATCTCATTGTGGTTTTGATTTGCATTTCTCTAATAATTACAGAAGTTGAGCAGTTTTTTATATGTTTGCAGGCCATTATTCTGTCTTCTTTGGAGAAGTTTCTTTTCATTTCTGTCGCCCATTTCTTGATGGGATTGTTTGATTTTTTTTCTTGTTAATTCTTTTAAGTTCCAGATAGATTCTTGTTATTAGACCTTCATCAGAGGTGTAGAGAGCAAATATTTTCTCCCACTCTGTGGGTTGTCTATTTGCTCTACTGATGGTTTCCTTGGCTGTGCAGAAACTTTTTAATTTGATCAGATCCCATTTGTTTATTTTTGATGCTGCAGTGATTGCCTTGGGGGTTTTCCTCAAAAATTCTTTGCCTAGGCCAATGTCTAATAGGGTTTTCCCAACATCTTCTTCCAGGATTCTTAAGGTTTCATGTCTTAAGTTTAAGTCTGTTATCCTTCTTGAGTGAATTTTTGTGAGAGGTGAGAGGTAGGGATCCTGATTTGCTCTTCTGCATGTAGCTAACCAGTTTTCCCAGCACCATTCATTGAAGAGAGATTCTTTTCCCCAATGTATGTTTTTGTCAGCTTTGTCAAAGATTAGGTTACCGTATACTGATGGTTTCATCTCTGGTATCTCAGATCTATTCCAGATATCTATGCTTCTGTTCTTGTGCCAGTACCAGGCTGATTTAACTATTATTGCTTTATAGTGCAGCTTGAGGTCAAGTAGACTGATGCCTCCCAGTTCTTTTTATTTAAGATTGCTTTGGCTATACGAGGTTTTTTCTGGTTCCATACAAAGTGAAGAATTATTTTTTCTACATCTGTAAAGAATTCTGATGGTATTTTGATAGGGATTGCATTGATTCTATAGATCACTTTAGGTAATATTGACATTTTAACTATATTGATTCTACCAATCCATGAACAAGGTAGATTTTTCCATCTGTTTAAATCTTCTGCAATTTCTTTTTTTAGTGTTTCATAGTTCTCCTTGTATAAATCTTTTGTATCTTTCGTTAAGTATACTCCTAGATATTTAATTTTCTTTGGGGCTATAGTAAAGGGTATTGCCTTTTTTATTTTAGTTTCTGCTTGATGGTTCTTGGCACATATGAATGCTTCTGATTTGTGTATATTGATTTTATAACCTGAAACTTTACCAAATTCAGTTATCAAGTCTAGGAATCTCTTGGAAGAGTCCCTGGGGTTTTCTAAGAATAATATGATATCATTGGTGAAGAGCGAGAGTTTGATTTCATCTGCCCCCGCTTGAATGCCCTTGATACCCCTCTCCTGCCTGATTGCTATCACAAGCACTATGTTGAATACGAGAGGAGATAGTGGGCATCCTTGTCTAGTTCAGGATCGTAGGGGGAAAGGTTTCAATGTTTCCCCATTTAGAATGATATTAGCAGTGGGTTTGTCATAGATGGATTTGATAAGTTTAAGGTATGAGCCATCTATGCCTATTTTGTTAAGAGTTTTTATCATAAAGGTGTGTTGGACTTTGTCAAATGATTTTCTGCATCTGTTGACAGAATCATTTGGTCTTTGTTCTTGATTTTGTTTATGAAGTGAATTGCATTTATAGACTTGCATATGTTGAACCATCCTTGCATCTCTGGAATAAAGCCCACCTGGTCATGGTGAATTATTTTTTTGATGTGCTGCTGAATTCTATTCGCTAAAATTTTATTTAGGATTTTTGCATCTGTATTCATAAGGGATATTGGTCTGTAATTTTCTTTTTTTGTTGTGTCCTTTCCTGGATTTGGTATCAAGGTGATCAATATTGGCTTCATAGAATGAGTTAGGAAGGGTACCATCCTTCTCAATAGTGTGGAATAGTTTCTGTAGTATAGGTATGAGTTCATCTTTGTATGTTTGGTAGAACTCTGAAGTGTAGCCATCTGGCCCAGGGCTTTTCCGTTTGGACAGGTTTTTAATTACTGCTTCAATTTCTGACCTTGAGATTGGTCTATTTAGGAATTCTGTTGCCTCCTGCGTGATCTTAGGGAGGTTGTATGAATCCAAGAATTTGTCCATTTCATCTTCGTTCTGTAGTTTTGGGGCATATAGTTTTTTATAATAGTCAAATATAATATTTTGTATTTCTTTGGTATCTGTTGTGATCTCTCCTTTTTCATTTCTTATTGAGTTTATTACAGTCCTTTCCCTTTGGGTCCTTGTCAGTCTAGCAAGAGGGCCATCGATTTTGTTTATCTTTTCAAAAAACCAACTTCTGGTTTTGTTGATTTTTAGGATAGTTCTCTTGATCTCCATTTCATTCAGTTCTGCTTTGATCTTTGTTATTTCTTTTCTTCTATTAGGAATGGAAATTGTTTGCTCTTCTTTTTCCTATTCCTTGAGCTTATTCATTAGGTTGTCAGTATCTAAGCTTTCTGTTTTTTGGATGTGAGTGTTAATTGCTATTAGTTTTTGTCTCAGGTAAGCTTTTGCTGTATCCCACAGGTTTTTGGTAAGAGGTATCACCGTTATCATTTTGTTTTAAGAAATTCTTGATTTCCCTCTGAATTTCTTCCTTTACCCAATAATTTTTCAATAATAGATTGTTTAGTTTCCATGATTTTGTGAGAGGTTGAGTGTTTCTATAGGAATTGAACTGTAATTTTATACCATTATGGTCACAGAAGATACAAGGTATAATTTCTATTTTGTTGAATTTTTTGAGATCTGATTTGCGGCCTAGGATGTGATCATTTTGGAGTAGGATCCATGGGCTGCTGAAAAGAATATAAATTCAACTTTGTTTGGATGGAATGCTCTGTAGAGATCTGTCAGATCTTTTTGATCAAGGGCTTTATTCAGGTCCATTATTTCTTTGCTTATTTTCTGTTTGGAGGATCTATCCAGATCATTCAATGGAGTGTTGAAGTCCCCTGCTACTATGGTAGTGTTATGTAATAAGGTGTTTATATTTGACAACATTTGCTTTAAGTAATTGGGAGCTCCTGTATTGGGTGCATAGATATTAAGAATTGTTAAATCTTCTTGTTGGATCTTCCCTTTCACAATTATGTAATGGCCATCTTTATCCTTTTTTACTTTTGCTATTTTAAAGCTTATATTATCTGCAAATAGTATAGCTACTCCAGCTTTCTTTTGACCTTTGTTTGACTGGATGATAGTTTTCCATCCGTGGCCTTCAGCTGGCGGGCATCATTGTGGGTTAGATGTGTTTCCTGTAGACAGCAGATGCTAGGCTTGTGAATTTTTATCCACTCTGCCAGTGTATGTCTCTTCAGAGGACCATTTAAGCCATTTACATTTATTGAAAGGATTGAAATTGGAGGAAGTTTACCATTCATATTGTTGGGTAGAGTCTTGTTGCTTTGTTTTATTCCTTGAGCCATCATTTAGTTCGAGATCTAAACTTTAATTCTTTGATGATTTCACTTTGAGAAGTGTCTACTGGCCAGTTCGGTTAGAAATGTAGGTCTAAGAACTGCCTGTAGGGATGGTTTGGTCTTTGCAAATTCCTTCAGTGATTGTTTGTCTGAGAAGGACTTTATTTCTCCCTCATAGATGAAACTTAATTTTGCCAGATAAAGAATTCTAGGTTGGGCTTTGTTCTGTTTTAGTAGATTAAGGATATGCACCCAATCCCTCCTGGCTTGTAAAGTTTCAGATGAGAAGTCTGCTGTTAGTCTGATAGGCTTACCTTTGTAAGTCATTTGCTGCTTTTATCTCGTTGCCTGGAGAATTGTTTCTTTCACGTTTACTTTGGTCAGCCTAAAAACCACGTGGCGAGGTGATTGCCTTTTCACATTGAATCTCCTAGGGGTTCTGTGTGCTTCTTGTATTTGGATATCAAGATTTCTGGCCAGGCCTGGCATATTTTC